TTCAGAAGTTGAAACAGCACAAGTAGCACAATTTCTTAGTAATCATAGTGATACAATTGTACATTATATTAATTTTCATGCATTTTCACAATATTGGATGGCACCATGGGGTAAATATTAATATTAAAAATATTTGTTGCATATTTTATTATTTATCTTAATAGCTTATACAACAACAAGACCAGCACAATTTAAATTACTAGATGATGGATCAGCTGAAGCTGTTCAAGCACTTAAGGCTGTTGAGGGTGAGTATAATACAAAGATGTTCACAGAAAATAATTTTTGTTTCAGGTACAAAATATACTCATGATAGTATTGCCCAAATTATTTATGTTGGATGATCATTCGAAAATAACGAAATAAATATAAAAAAGCGAAGTAGGAAATACAGTGTAAAATGAAGATGAAATAAATGAATGAGTTAAGCATCTGGTAGTACAGTTGATTGGACATACGGTACAGCTAATATAACATTTAGCTATGGGGTAGAACTTCGAGATACTGGTAACATGAAATATTTTTAGAAGACAAAGTTTTCTTGAATTATTTATTTTTAGGTTCTTATGGGTTTTTATTACCGGAAAATCAAATTATTCCAACTGGTAAAGAAACATTAGCTGGTGAATTAGCTTTATTGAAATATATTGAAAGACACGTGTTAGGTGGTAGTTCACACATTTCTATCCACTGTGTTTTTATATATGTGTTCCTCCCATTTTCTTTCTTATTTCATATTTTCCTTTCGTTCTCCTATTAACTCATATATGTTTGGATATTTTTGCTTTTCTATGTATCACATATACTTGGATGTTTCTTTTCGTACACATAATATGTTTCATCCTTTTCTTTGACAAGTGCTGATCTATCGATATATATTATATCTGAGAGGATTTTTCCCAATCGTTCTACCAAATGGGAGATGTTCATCCTTTATATAGCTGGGGGTGTGGGTGTGACTAAAAACGAAATTAACACTCACACCCACACCCCTTCATTCAATCAATTTTTCACATGTTTTCTATTAGGCCCCATCAATTGACATCCGTGAATTAAAAATTTTCCAATAAGAAATATTGTAGTAATACCTATACTTAATTATTTTTGTGTATTTAGCATTTGGATGAATTTTCTTCTGAACAACGCCAAACACTTCCCATTCAAGCAAAGAACCAATCTTTTTACTCTTTCAACTAAAGTCATTGACACATTAGAAGACCCGGGGTCTTCTAATTTGTCCTGTCGCTCGCAAGTCGTAAGGGAGTCTTCTAATATATCCCTTAGAAAAGTGATTTTTTTGCTATTCTGAAGAATAGTTTTCATAAACGTCTTTTTTATGAGCATTAGTTGTTCCTAAATATTTCTTTCTCCTTTTCAGGACTAGTACAATAAAAAAGTCTTTATTCTAGCTACAAAGAATATTTCACGACAAAGGTATCTTCTTTTATAAAATAAATTATACACATAGCAGTACATATTTGACAGTATATTATAGCAAAAGTGTTCTTCACATGATAAAATAAATACATCAAAAAATATTTTTATTTCACATAATCAAGTAGAAGAAGAAATTCAAAAGTTTTTGAATTTTCTACGTATCTCTCAAAGTTACTTATAACAATGGTCGCTGTTTGCAACATGTTACAGGCTATCCCAAAAACAATTTACCAAAAATTTTTTCGTATATTTTTGCTATTTTATTTAACTGTATCAACAATTTTTTTTTAAATTGTAGTTGACTATACCGAGTTTTTATTTATCCGAACGAACTTCCATATTATTGTGTAAAACTATCACATTAGATAAGAATACAAAAAATTTTTGTTTTCTTTATATTTCCAGAAAAACATTATGTAGCGTTTTGTTCTCTAACTATTTCAATTTACCGTGAGAATTTCCCGTAGATTTTGTCTCAAAAAAAGGTTTAAAAATCTTTCAATTTACATAATCTTGTAGTACACGACGAACTCTATCTAACCATATGAAAATATCAAAGAAAACACCTTAGTCAACTTTTGAATTACTCGAATATCAGAACGAAAGTAAAACTATCGTATCTTCACTTAAGATGATAGTTTAACACAGTAATATGGAAGTTCATTCGGATAAATAAAAACTCGATATATTCACCAATAATCAAAAAAAAATGTTGATAAAGTTAAATAAAATAGCAAATATATACGAAAAAACTTTTGGTAGGTGATTTTGGGAACACCCTGCATATCTATACGGTACTTCTAATTTATCATCTGTTGACTTTCAATTCATGTGCCTGCAAGGAAACATCATAGAGAAAGCAAGTGAGATTGAGGATTGAAAGAGGATAAATTGGAGATAACATGTGTGTATATCTGAGTTATTTACGTTTGGTATTGTTTAAACATAGACCGCTTGGTACGTCAGAAAAGATATACAGATGCAAAAATAATGAATAAATAGATGTTGGAAAAACTAAGGAATCAACCATTATGGAGGAGGGGGGGGTCTTCTAATGTGTTTATGGCTTTAATCTTCTCTCTATCAAAGTAAATATCATTCAGTGAACACTCATTTCGCTTATCGACAATCATTTACACTTTTTTTTGTTCAATTTTAATCAAACACTTTAGTTTCCTCATTCTATAGCAAGTTCTTTTGAAGTTTTTCCTCGATGAATGTCAAACAGAACTTACTTTTCAGCAATTCAAGAGTGTAAAAATCAGAACATCAAACGGCAAAGAAATGAATGTAATAGTACAAATGCGTTCATAAGGCGTCTGATCTAGGAGTGAGAGTGGCATGCATCATGAAGATTCTATAAGATGAAAGATGAATCCATGAAAATTTATTAACACTCTCATATACATTTAGAATATATGATTCACATTGAATTTGTAAAAACAATGTTGAATTTCACTTGGGTTTGATGGTGCGGTGTGAGTGGATGTGGAACAGACGAGATTAACATCCACACCCTTTCTCTAGTTGCGTAAATTGTAGATTTTGTGTACGATGTAGTAAGACAAACATGTCAGTGTAGATGTGCACTCAGTTTAGTTGTGGTGTGAGTGTGTGATGTACGTTCAGTGAAGACTCATTCACACCCACCCACATACTCATATTCCATTTTGATAAAATAAAAAGATTACTTAGATAACACGAACTAAGTTAATATTAATTTTAAAATAATTTGAATTATATCATCAATTATTTGAAATTCAAATTTTTTCTAATTTTAAAAAATATATTTCGCGATCAAATAAATTATTCTAAGTAAAAGACAAAGATTCTATTTGTTTAAAAATTCAATTTATATCTGATAGACAGTTTTCAAAAAAATTTATTAAAATTAATACCGTTTTCATAAATAAAAAAGAGAACCTTTCTAATAGAAAACAAAAACCGATGAAAGTTAAATAATATTGAACAAGAATAAAATTCATAATAATTGATATTTTTTGTAATTTTAATTTTGATAAAATTTCATTAAAAATTCGAATATCAGTACAATTTTTTGTTGTAAGAGAATCTATTATTCATATTACTAAATAAAGATGTTTATAAAGATTTTTTGTCGTTTAAATGAATGTTAACATTGTATTAATAATCGATTCATATTTAATGACGGATATCTGCATTCAAACATATTATCAACTTATTATTTTCATTACGAATCAAGTTTTTCTATAAAAACAAAAAAGTGAACTTTCACAGAATGAATCTGTCTCATAGATAAATTCTTATGTAGTAGTCTGTAAAACAAGACGATTAATACAATTGGACAACTCTGAAAAGAACAAATGAAAATCAAAGTTATTTGTATAAATAATTGGATATCACAGTAAGGATGAGTGATTTTAAATCTGTATCTGTAACTATAGTTCTAGTGTCCAACATATCCAATTATGCTTATCCAATATTACAAATCGATTCTAGTTCGAGTCATATCTCTAAAAGACTATTTGGAAATGGATATTTTTCGAATTACTTTCAATAATTTGATAGTAGCACGAGATTAGTATGGAGTGTGGCTGTGTGCATGTTCTTTTGATTCTGATCTGTTCACATTCAAATTTTCATTCTCAACAATTTATTTTCAAAAAATAAAAATTTTTATTGTTTTTTAATCAATACCAATAATAAATTCCAATTGTTTGGCTGTTTATTATTTAAAAAAAATAATAAAATATCGAACTGAAATTAAACCAATTTTTATTAGTATTTGTAAATTTGAAATGCAACATATTGATATGAAGAACTTCATTTCTATTAAGCTGTGATTCAAGTTTCATGTTGTGAAATGCTATCAGGCTGAAATTTTCTACACGCCATAGGGGTGTTCGGCTACATACCCAAAGGTTATGACGATTTTCGTCTATAAATAGCGCTTATTTTTGGGATGTTCTTGAGTCATCAACGCTATTAGGTGACCATAACTGAAGAAGCCTATTCCTTGTTTTCGTATTTTATCTAGAGAACACTTTTTACTGCTGACTCTTATGGTTTTTTTCAAAAATTTCCTTCCTATTTTAATTTTGCGACATAGATGAAGCCAACCAATTTTCAATAAGTCAAAAAATCTTATGGAAATAACGATGTTTTGCTGGGAAAGCAGCTTTTTCTCCTTTATCAAAAAATCTTTTTCACGAAAAAAAAATAGAACAAGAGCTATTAGTTGTAAGTATCAGCTCCCAAGCAAAAAATGTTTGACTTTATCTTCTAACTTAATAGAATATCATTGAAGACATGTCGTCGAGCCGACGCTTTCACAACATGAAATAACTTTTTTCCGTATATTTTGCATATTAATGAAATTTGTACTGGTATAAATAGGCCTTTTCTGTATTAATCAAGTTTATTTTCATTGCTCATCTTTATTCAAGGTGTATGTATGGATGTAGTTTTTTGCTTTATTCTAACTCGGCACCTAAATCCTAGATCACTTTGACATTGTTTTGAAAAAAAGCTATGAGTTTTGTTTTCTTTTTCTTAGTAGTTATTTGTTAAAAACAAGCTTCATTACATAGACTATTTGATATTTCTGGAAGTGTTGGTAAACTAAATTTTTCCGGAATTGTTATCTTGGTATTGCTTGTCCTTAAAAGAATGTTGATGTAGTTGTAAGTATGTGAAGAGAATATCCAAAATCAAAGCGATAGTTACATTCATACTCTTCTATTTTTTGAGTCGCTCTAACAACTAAGCTACAGTTAAAAGTCATGTGATAATTAACAATTTGAGCAACTGTCAAAACATATTATATGATTTGCTTTCAATCTTTCTCAACCCTAATATCACACTTAACCAATTGATTCTCTACATTGTTTTCTAAAGCACCGATCTTATTTTATTCTGGTGAATTTCG